AGATTGATTACTTGCTAGTAGTTGTGTCGAGAACAGCAGATGTGCAGGTGCATCTCACACTACAAAAAATATGTCAACTAGTGACCTTCTGTCAGTGACCCTGGAAGAATTGGTCATAGATCTATGACCATTTTAGACCAATTGGTCAAAAGCTGTTCGAGGGGCTCCAAACCCTAAACCATTGCGACCATTTTAGTCAGAAAGGTCGTAATTTCCTTACACGAAAAGGTCATAAAGCAAACGGCGCTAGTCCGCTGCCTTATTTCTAGTTGTTAACGACCAGTGGGTTGCTATGATTAGGCGCCACCTCATCAGTTTTGCCTATGTGTCATGTCCATGTGGCAGTTTTTGCCCTAGGTTGTGAAGCAACCTATATTTCTGTCATTCCCAAAATTCCCAAAAAAATCTCATAAATTCTCTGGGTCATATCTTCGTCAAATATGTAAAAAAATTCCTTGCCTAGTTCAAAAATAATTAGAAAATATTCATTTTCCTACTCTGTTCAGAGCAGCACTTTGTGAAGGAAGTACCACTTTGGCATGTCCAAATGGTATCCATTTTCTACAATGCTTTCCTATACCCAAATAACCATCCTCCACCAAATGTCAGCTCAATCCATTTATTATTTTGAGCCCAGCTTCAACATTCGTATTTATGTCCAGTGTGGTAGTTTGTAAAGCAAGTACCACCTAGGCTCCTCCTTTTGAGGTAAAAATTTGTGAAGACGGTCTTCTTAGTAACTGATCATCCTCAGTCAAAACTCATGCCCATTAGCCATGTGCATTTCCCGTACTGCAAATCAAACACTTGGCTGCTTATTCATGTTTGAGCATCGATCGGTCTCCTCGTGAGAATCTTATGTTGTAATTTTCTTCCTAGCACCTACTTGGGGAGTGCCCAACCCACTAGACATGCATAGGCCGCCCAGAACACATGGCAACGCCACGGGCACGCGGTGACCATGCGGCGGGCATGCGAGCTTACGCGCTCTAGAGTTGGGGCCCTCGGCCACCGTCCAAACCTCGATGTCTCGCCATCAAACCATGTATTTCTGATTAAATAGATACTTATTTACCTAGAAATGATTTTTGGAAAAAATAAAGAGCAAACTATGAGGCAGCTGCAGTTCAAATTTGACCCGCTTCCACCTGAATCGACGGGAATTTGTCTTTTTCACCAGAGGTGGATCAAAATTTTTGACACCCAACCATTTTATCAATTGTGCATTATATATGGCCTAGTATTTTATAAAATTGATTAGGTCCAATTTTGCAACAATTATTTGGTAGTTCCTTCACAAAAAAACCTCCTTTTGGGCACTCGGAAAATGAAGAAAATGAAAACTTCCTTAGGAAACATTGTTTGGAATTCCAAGATGCACCCTTGTGCACAATATGAGATCATTTGAACAAACTATGCCATGAATGTGGCCATAAGATTGATCATTTGGCTTGAAAGCCATGAATCTTCACGCATGATAGCTCATTTCTGAGAACACTTTTTTAAAATAATTACCGTATTACAAGTTTATTATTTTTCCTGGAAACTTGGTCACATATAATGACACAATGCGAAGGTTTTCCAATTTTTTGATTTTTTTGAATTGTTTATGCCCGTTTCAAAATGCGGTCAAAACAGCGGGCTTGACCGTTCCTAGCTAGTGGTTGAATCTTGGAATTTTTTTTGGTGTTTCTATGATTAAATAGATACTTATGTACCTAGAAATAATTTTTAGAAAAAATAAAGAGCAAACTATGAGGCAGCTACAATTCAAATTTGACCCGTTTCCAACTGAATCGACGGCAATTTGTCTTTTTCACCAGAGGTGGATCAAAACTTTTTACACTCAACCCTTTGATCAATTATGCATTAAATATGGCCTACTATTTTAGAAAAATGATTTGGTGCAATTTTGCAATAATTATTTGGTAGGTTCTTCACAAAAAAACATCATTTGGGGCACTCAAAAAATAGAAAATGGCTCTTTTGTGCAATGAAAGTGAAAACTCCCTTAGGAAACATTGTTTGGAATTCCAATATGCACCCTTGTGCATAATATGAGATCATTTGAATAAACTATGCCATGAATGTGGCCATAAGATTGATCATTTGGCTTGAAAGCCATGAATCTTCACGCATGATATCTCATTTCTGAGAACACTTTTTAAAAATAATTTCCGTATTAGAAGTTTATTATTTTTCCTGGAAACTTGGTCATATATAATGACACAATGTGAAGGTTTTCCAATTTTTTGATTATTTTTGAATTTTTTATGCCCGTTTCAAAATGCAGTAAAAACGGTGGGAATGACCGTTCCTATCTAGTGGTTGAATCTTGGAATTTTTTGGTGTTTCTCTAATTAAATAGATACTTATGTACCTATAAATGATCTTTTGAAAAAATAAAAAGCAAACTATGAGGTAGCTGCAGTTCAAATTTGACCCGCTTCCATCTGAATCGGCGAAAATTTGTCTTTTTCACCAGAGGTGGATCAAATATTTTTACACCCAACCATTTGGTCAATTGTGCATTAAATATGGGCTAGTATTTTAGAAAAAATATTTGGTGCAATTTTGCAATAATTATTTGGTAGGTTCTTCACAGAAAAACCTCATTTCGGGCACTCGAAAAATAAAAATTGAATTTTCCGTGCAAAGAAAATAAAAACTCTCCTAGACAACATTTTTAGAATTCCAAGATGCACCTCGTGTAAATATTTGATAGCTTCTTCACCAAAAAATTTCATTTTGGACACTCAAAACATAAAAATTAAAATGGTGACATGATTTTACACTTTATTTTTATTTGACCACGACCAATTTTGAATGGTCATAACGTCCAATACTAAATGGTCATAACGGTATACACGCGTACTGCGTTCTGATTGGGCCATAGCCATCTCACGCGGATCATGCATCAAGCACCGTTGGATGCTTGTGGATCCAACGGTAGCCCTCGCCCCCCACCCTCTCACCCACCTGGCCCTAACACTTCTAAAAAAAAACCTAGCCCTAACACAACCCCCACGCCCCCACTTCCCCACCGCCGCTCTCCACCTTCTCTCCCTCTCTCCCTTCTGGATCCACCGCCGCCGCACACCACTCC